CGCAAGCAACGAGAAGAAGTCTTACCAGTCTCCCCAGCAACCAGAAGTTTCGAAATACCCGAACTTTTCAAAAATTTTATAAGATTTGACAGTGGGCAAAATGATCACGAGAGGATTACTTTATTCGGCGACCCTGAAATGCTACGTGTGCTTGAAACATCCAACTTTTGGTTGGCTGATGGAACTTTTAAAGTCACCCCGAAAATGTTTTATCAACTTTACTCCATACACGTTAGTCTTTCAGGAATAGCCCCTGCTTGCATATATGCGTTCCTGCCAAATAAAACAGAAAAAACTTACCAACGTTTCTTAGAAGCCCTAAAAATACTAGTCCCTGATAGTAGACCTGAAAAAATTTTACTGGATTTTGAGCAGGCCGCTATTCAAGCGTTCCAGAAAAATTTTCCCGAGACCAAGCTGTCGGGATGTTTCTTCCACAAAATTTTATGAGAAAAATCGCGGAGCTCGGATTGAAAAAGGATTACGAAACTAACCACGAGTTCGCTTTAGCACTCAAAATGTTACCCGCACTGGCTTTCGAAAAAAAGAAGAAATAGGAAATTCATACGATAAAATAGTGGAGGAAATTCAAATAGTTTGCGATCGCACCATAAAAGAGTCGGAAAAAATAGCGAAGGTTGACGAGCTTTGCCTTTATTTTGGATCTAACTACATAAAAAGTCTCGTCCCGAATCGGGAAGCCCTATTCCCCCCTTCATTATGGAATCAAAGGGATGCGGCATCATCGGGTTTGGCCAGAACAACAAATGCTGTAGAGGGCTGGCATTATGGCATACAGTCATACTTCAGTGGATCGCATCCCAGTATATGGAAAGTGATTGCAAATTTGCAAAAAGACGCTTCCGTCCAAAAACTTAATTTCTATAACGCCTCGAGTGGGCACCAATTTACAAAAAAGAAGAAATACCGGGTGCTCAACAAAAAAGTGCAGAATATTATGCATGTTTACGAAGAAAAAACTGATTTGCATTTCTTTCGCGCTATGGCGAACTTGAGTTAAACATTTGCTATTTAATCTATATTGCCAAGCAATAAACTTTTTTCCAAGTTTAATTATTTTCCTTGATTTTTCAAAATTGAGCTAGAGTCGATTTGAAACCGGCAAAATAATAAATACATACAAGGTGTTGACTTTTCTTTTCCCTCCGCCCAACCCTGTAAGGTTAACCCATTTATTGTACCCTTGATATACCCGTTATCATATTTACCCGAAATTCAACTTTTTCGGGAAAATTGGAAAATTTTTTGTGCCGCCAGGGATTCGATCCTTTGATCTCTAGATTTTGAGACTAACGCTTTAACCACTATACCATGAGGCCCTTGGTTGTCATCCAAATTATTCTTCCAACTTTGGCTCTTTGATCTTTAATTAAGCCCATGTTTGAGTTTTCAAAGCGTAGATCAATTCTGTCGGCGCTAAAAGATCAAGGTCAAGAAATTCAAATGGTTTTGGACTGTTTTGTATATGCACCAATTTGAATCATGTCGGTCGGATTCGTTTTCAAGTTCATCTCAAAGTCTAGACTATCGGCAATGTCATTTCTGTTCAAATCTAAAAGGCATTTAGTAGCGTGCATGTCAACTCCTTTTGGTTCGCAAAATTTTTCGCAATTAAAGCTTTGATGTTTACCGACGATATGGTTCCGAATCCTTTTCAAGTAACTTTCACTTTGATTCTAACAATTGATTTTAAAAAGGGGTTAAATTGTAGTGGGGTTATCTGATTTTGGGGTTATATGAGAGGGGGTTAAGAAAAAGGGGGTTACAAAACACGGGGTCATAAGCTTGGGAACCAATCGGTATACCATTGAACATTTTTTCAGTATTTGGTTTAGCGCAATAACAAAATTAAAAAAAAAGAAACTTCGATTAAAAGTTATGAGCCGCTTAGCAGAAAAAACATCACAATCAAAAGAAAACAAATTAAAAGCCAGTCTATATCATCTGTTTTAAAGATCAGATATGATAAAGGTTCAAAATGTTTCAGAAAAATTTTGCCAAGATTCTAAGCCTACCCTAAGGTACTCATGATTCGAAATTTTAGTAGAGCGTAAAAACTCGATCACCTAGCTCAGGTCGCTGATAAAAGAAAAACCAACAGATTTTAATGTTGTCAATTATTTTTATCTGATTATCAATATAAGGGTAAACGCGGTTAACAACCTCGTAAAATTTTTGGTTTGAAAAACACTGTTAATTTTAAGATAACTTATGAAATTTGTTCGTTCCAGCTTTCACTGCCTTTTCGAGCAAATCATCTTGCTCCTTGAGGCAGTGCGAGCTCACCTGTGTAGACACGTCTCACAAATACCTGGTAGAAAATTGAACAAATCATCAGGTATATAATCTCTGTCGCTTGTTGGCAGTACTACATGAACTACAGAGTATGAGGCTGGCGACCGGTGTCTTCTAAAATCTCTAATTTTCAAAAAAAAACTTTTGCTTGGCTGGATAGTTTTAGGGGAAAACGAAGCATCTCTTTATGAGAGAGAACTGAAAGAAACATCATTGTATTGCTCACTTTTTAAATAACACTATGTAAAGCCTATGTAGAGGATGGAGAGTTTGACAGGAGAGTGAAGATCTACGATCTGCTGGGAGAAAGGAATTAATTTGAGTGAGTTATGCTCTGGATGGACATGAGCTACATTGGAGCTACCCTGTACTTAATTCGGAAATGTTTGAGCTAGGCTCAATTCAAACTTATTATCACGCAAGGAAGACATGGAGTGGAGCAAAAGCAGAGCTGGTCCAGTTGAGACGATGGAAATATTGTCCTTAATTCTTAGACAGAATGTAATTTTCGTTAGCTATATACCAAAAAAATCGTAGGTAGAAATCAGATATAAGAAGAGCGCCAAAACAAATATGTAAAGAATATATTTTTCTTTTAGTTCCAAGAGAATTACTTCAAGATTCCAGTATCCTAGGAACATTTTGAAAAAAAGTTATTTCTCGTGATAGTGATTCTTAAAATCGTATTTTACGAGTATAGTCGTTGGTTCATTCGTATTTCACGAGAAGGTTCGTTTATATTTCCAAAACTTTAAACTTTATACGAGTTATTCCAAAAACTTCAAGCATTGGTTTCCATTCATTTTGACAGTGGATATAAACAGATTGATTTTATGGTGGCAGCAGCGTCACGCTTTGTGAGCATAAAAAATTCTAGGTTTCTGTTCCAATATGAAATCAGCAGAAGAAATCAGCAAAGCGATTCTGTTCTTTGAGCTTGTCATCTGGCTCTTAGGGAGAATGAACTACAGAGTATGAAGCTGGCGAATGTAATGGCTCATACTTAAAAATATTCAGGATTCCACCGGTGTCTTTTAGGTTCTCTAACTTTCAAAAAAAACGTATACTTGGCTGGACAGTAGTAGGGAAAGAAGCATGTGAAATTGCTTTTCTACGAGGAGTGAGATATCTTTTAGTATCACGTATTCCAACTTACTATTTTAGTTAATCAGTTTGTTACTGTCAAGCAAAGGAACTTACGTCCAACTAATGCTTAGCCGTTGTGCTGAAAAAGCGTCGTTTTGAAGCACAAACAACGAACTTTGGTCTTTTGGTAAAAATACATACTTCAATTTTTCTTGAACTCTCAAAAACACTCAGCAAAAAAATAGCTGTTTAGTCAAAAAATATCTTGGTCCAAAAAACTCAGAACTTTATAATTCATTTAATCATAACTCTTTCAAAAAGAACAGCAGGTTCGAAGATGAAACTCATTAACATCAACAAAAAACATTTGAATGCCCAGATAACTTTTTAGACAATGACTTCTCAATATACGACAAAGCCCATATGACGAAAGGAAAAAATAGATTCAAATACATTCCCAGGTTTTATGTGATATAAATGAAGAGAAAAAAAACTGTTTTCAGATTTTTTTATACGCAAAAAGAGCGCACAATGATTGGCTAGGCCTTTTGAAAAGGTTTATAAGAATACTTCAAAACGGTAGATAGTGCTAACTTTTTTGAAGGACTTTATATCTATTTTCTTCGATTGATTCAGTTTTAATAATATAACTGAAATTGATCACATCAAGATACCAAGCAGTTTTGCTCCATGTTAAATTTCTCGAGAGTGAACTATTTATCTCGCTGTTGAACATGATCGTATTCTACACCAGGGGCGGATCTAGGATTTTCTCGAGGGGGGCGGATTTTCAAAAAATTTTCGAAAATTTTGACGACCTTTTTTTTTAGGTCGACCAAATTGATTTTTCGAGCTCTCCCAAAGCATTGTTTTGCCCTTATTTTGGCAAAATTGTTTGCGCCGCAGGCAAATTTTTGAAAAAAAAACAGTCAAAGAAGCCGTTTTTGGGCACTTTTTGAAAAATGTTGACAAAAAATCGCGTTTTTTTGGCGCGCGCTCCCCCTCAAAAGTAGTATATATTGGCGCCCAAGGCGCCTTTAGAAAAACTTTGTGTCGGTCGGCCGAAAATGGATTTCTGAAAAAGTATCAAAGGTGGACCCTTTGGGTCGGCAGGGGGTCGAATCCCTGAGGGGGGGGGGCGTCCGCCCTCCCCCCGCCCCCCCTAAATCCGCCCCTGGTCTACACTACAAGAAAATGAAGGTTGACATCTTCCTTACAAGATCCGGTCAACTGAGTAGTAAATGTTTCATTTCGGTATAATTTGCAACATGAATTCCTCCACAATGAAACACTAAGCTCCATAATCAAAATTTTGCTCGTTATCAGGGGAATTTAAAGTTAACTGCAGATATACTACGCCAGCGATGATACTTGATTTTCATAGTCAGGCGAAACTTTTTGCGAATTCATTGTTCCGCTGATTTGCAAAAAATAAGGTGAGCATTTTTGTCATTTACCTCAAATTGAAATCATTTTTTTTCAAGTGTCCATTAAGCAATGAAAACTGTACGAAAAACGAAAAAAAAGAACCATAGGATGTCTATCAATAGATGATTAAAAGATGTCGTCGGAAATTTTTACTTAGCAAAATTCTAGGCTCTAGACTGGTTAGAGAGAACGCTTGCAATAAAATTTACGCAAAATTAGAACAAAAACTGAAAAACTGACTGCAGTTAATTGCCTTTCTAATATCGACGAAAAGAAAAAAGTAAAGACATTTAGTAGCACCACTAAAAACTTATCGATGAAGTTAATGCATGTCATATTGGGCTTAACTATGCAAATCTAAGTGTAATTCAGTCGATTGCACGATCTGAAAATATTCAAAATATTGCATCATAAAATAATTTTTGCACTGCATTTTTGTCATTATTTTGAATTGGCGATTAAAAGTGTGCTTTTTTATACATCAAAAAGGGAAAGTTGATCAAAATGTACACATCATTAATTTAATTATTTGTAAAATTCAAAATAGCAGATTCTGATAATTCGTATGACTCTTTTGAATAGGAAATTGTGCCGGTTGATTCTGGCGTAGTGGTTTGGGTTGAAGCGTCTTGAAACAATCTCTGAAACAACAAAAAAGAATAAAGCAAACGCTCCAACACTTTATTGGCCCTCAAGTAAACTTAACACCTTGAGTTTCTGTATTTTTCAGCAATATATCTATAATTTATAATTATGTGAATTGAAAAATATGAAATTTAAATCAGTTCTGTTTGATTTTCACTAAAATGACATTTGACAGAGTCGTTAACCGAAAACCGTAGTATTGTGAGTTGATAATTCCTTCCATGGAGCTTTCAGATCCACAATGAGTTTACTTACGGGGTCGAAAGCAGATGCGACATTGAATCTCCGCAACAGCTCCGCCCTCGAAATATTGTCAGCTGACGGACTATCCAGTCCTGATGGGACCATTGAGGCACTTACAGACATACCACCAGCTCCATTGGATCCCGAAGAGGGGACACCTGATGATGTGGACTGTATTGTCATGTGCCTCATGAGGGAACTCAGTAGCAGTCGCATATCTTGAAGTTCGCCCATCACTTTCTGGAATGTCTCCTCGTCCACACTCGCTCCATTGCCGATCAGCATCTCGCCTTGAATTCCATCTTTATTCTGGCTACTTAAAGTCATTCTTTGTGAGTGCGTACGCGCGTGGTGGTTTTGGTGACGGTGTGTACTGTTTGTTTGGGTTTTCAGGGATAAGTTTGAGCGAATTGAGCTGTTGGTTGATAATCTGTAACAAATGAACAACCTTTTAAGGGTTCGTACATTTATGTTTTCGAAAAAAAAACAAGCAGTTACTTAGAAAAAAAAACAGATCTATAAATACTATCAGTCGCCGTGAGGGAAGAGCGTAGAAGTAAGCATTGCAATAACCTGTTGAGTGCTCCTCTGTGGCCTCTGGAACTGACAGAGTCAGGAATGGATGCCAGTTCACAATCATCGTCTACTGTTGTAGTCCCAACTGATAACTCCTCGTCACTAGTGAACGACATCGCCTTTTTATGCAGCATACGATTTGCATTCTCTTCTCTGCGACCTTGATGGCTATCTGTCGCTTTTCGCTCAGAATGTCCCATATTGGAATCTACAGACTGGCCTCTTCTCGTACTGCGATCCTTGTTCGTAATGGAGTTCCCCTCTTGCTCGTGACCGACTTTTATTTCTTGGTGACTGGCATTCAGCATTGATGTTCCCATTTTTGTTTTACCGGGACCTCTTCTACTCGACGTGTCAAAAAGAGAAGTCACCACACTTGGTCGTCCGTTGCCCACTCTTCGTTGCATTTCGCTAGTCTGCCTGGGAGGTACAGAATCCAGTTGATCGTCCGAACTGCAACGTCCAGAAACCTTCGATGCAGCACTTTTTGGTTTGAAGACCTTGTAGTGGGTGACCTCTGGAGTTGAAGGCGTGTGACTAGGCGATGGAATGTAAGGATCTCGATTTTTATCTTTACTTTTGCTCCAAGAAGTTTTGCTAAGTCCGCAAAACTTGAGACCAGAGAATCTAGTTTTACGAATAACGCTAAGAGGAGTTCTAAGGCCACTGGTGGTTGTGCTGGGATTCGTGTTTCCCGGATGTATAAGTGGAATGTCGCCTTCCCCTCGATGCGGTACTCTTTCAGTCATGACGTTGAGGGGAATCCTCGCTTTGTATGATCTGTGCACTGTTGATTGGTAAATTTGAGACGGGTGTGTTGTTGTTCCCGACTCAGGCGCGTAATCACTACATAAAAATCTTTCTTGCGTTGGAGTGGAATCGGACGAAGCTACTATTGAATTCATTGAAGTCATTGTTTCTGCGCCCGAATCATTCGCTGAGATCGGACTCATAGGCGTTGAGATCTCTCTTATTATACCTTTGTTCTGTCTGTAAGAATCAGATGTCGACGTTGTAACCACAGTAACAGGTGTCATCGGTTCCACTTTACTACTTCTAATATCAGGACTAATATAAAAATCTGAAGACAAATCAAGTAGCTCGCTATGATTAGTGATACTGGAGTTGACACGCCAAGATTCGGGTGTATTGAGAGAAGAACTATACAAACTTGGTGAAAAATAACTGGAATACGCTGAATCAGTAGTCGATTTGAGTCCACCGACTAAGGCTGGTTTGGCAGAAGGGCAGGCTATTCTGAGCCCACAGCTCGAACGTTTCACTGGATCACAGAGATCTTGGTGTCCAACCAGGGTACTCCTCAGTCGCACCGGTGACCGAAACTCTTCACTGCTGGAAAGATTTCCTGTATTCCTAAGTGGAGAATGAACTTTTGCTCGTTGTCTAAGGGTAAAGCTTTCAACTCTCTGAACACCTCCGGAATGTTCCTCCTTTGCGATCTCTCTCCTTCGCCTGGGCGACCTTCGAGTTCTGTACTCTTGGATATTCTTCTCAAATTTCGCGACCAAATCAGAAGTCTTGGGCAGACTTCTGCAATCTATCGAGGTTGCAGTTGTTGGTTGGGGCGATGATGGAGGGCTTGAAAGTCTAGGTGACTGAGTGTATGTGTAGTTGTAAGTTATGGGGTAGTTTACACAATGTGACCGAGCAGAAATAGGAGTGGCTTCTAAGCAGCCGTTGTAGTTAAATTGAGGAACGTAGCAGCAAACGCCCTCCATCTTGTGAGACATTTGATGGCAGGGTCTTAAACAAATTGAGAATAGGTAAACAAAGAACTAGCAGCAGCAACGCATTCGAAATCAAACAAAACCATAGGCAACAAAAATGTGAAACCGTGATTACTTTCAAGATTCAAATGAGGCCATGAATTTTCCACAGTCTGCTAGATGATAGATGATCCAAAAATAGACGTTTTCTTAATTAGGATAAGTTAATTCTATAAAAAGCACTAAATCAAACTATTTCACAGAGAGCTTTTTAGTCAAATTTGAAAAGATAAGATATCGCCTAAGACTGTAGTTTGAAACTTTAAGCAGTCATTCACCAAAAATAGAGCATTCAATAAGTTAGACATTCCTAACTAGGTTTACAGGTTCAAACTAACATGTGAAAGGAGTATGACAATTCCAATATATGCTTTATGCTTTGAACTTGAGACATATGAGAAGAATAGCTAAAGTGAAGTTCAATTGAGATAATCAACGGTCCGAATTCGACAGAACTCCTAATCCTCTTCTTGCGAGTCTAGACTAAGCAATTATTAATACACTTTTCAAGAGTACTAGTATACACGGAGGCGAAGCTGAGCTTCGCGCCACTTGCGATACAACAATTATAGGATGAGTGCACCATGACGCTAAAAAATTAGCAAACGTAACTTCGAACAATTTTACTATTGAAGAAAGAAGTGAAAAAACGATTAAGAACCAAAAAAAGCATATTTTTGGCGTTTGAAGTTATTGAAGTTTTTCAAAAAAGACCTGTGGGGTTGAAATTTAGCAGTCAAAAACTGGTGTCAGAGTCTTATCGATCTCAAAACTACTACACTTTAAGAAAAAAAATCGGTCCTCAAGTCGACAAAAAAGAAGCCGACATTCAATAAGCTGAAAATTTAGTAAAAAACATACCACGATAGATATATCAGTAGCGTATGCAAAGTAGATTAGAGACCGGCTAAAGCTGAAAGTAATTGTTTGATAATTTCTAAAAATACGTACTGTTGCGAAAATGGCCAATATAGAAATCGAAACAAGCAAAAATTCTACAACTCACTGGAATTTGATGGCTTATTTTCATCTAAATATTACTTTGAAAATTAGTGAAATAAATAACTCTTCAAAGCGGGGAATAGGTTTAAAATTTAAGCGAGTTGCGATTATGATAACATAATTTCGCTGCCTCAGATTTGGAAGGGTAGTTTTCGAGAACTAAAGTCAAAAAGTTTCAAAAAACGGTCAAAAAATCAAAAATTTGACATCTGCGATGGACATAAATTCTGGTGTCAAACATTTGGACGTAGTTGCTACTGCAAGGCAGCTTCCCACGACTCATTTTCTCTATTGAACCGAATATATCAGATTTGGTAGGGTCGTTTTTGAATAAAGTCAAAAAGTTTCAAAAACGATTAAAAAAATCATAGTTTTGGCTTTCCCTAAGGCCATAACTTTTCGTGTAAAAGATTTAGGCAAAACCTTTTAGTCATGAAACTTCCTACAACCCGTCCTTTCGATTGAAATAAAAAAACTCAGATTTAGGAGGGCAAAGTTTTCGAGAAAAGTTTAAAAAAATTCAAAAATCGGTCATAAATTCAAAAACTTGACTTTTCCGAGGGCCATAACTTTTCATGTCAACAAATTGGGTAGATCCGCTTATGCACGGAGGATTCACATAACTTCTTCTCTTCATTGATCCCATGAAGTCAGATTTGGGTGGGTAGTTTTCGAGAAATTTCAAAAACGGTTAAGAAATCGAAAATTTGACTTTTCCGAGGGCCATAATAATTAGGTGTCAAAAAAATTTGGCGTTGGCGCCAATGCAAGGGAGTTTCTCGCGACTCGTTCTCTCTATTGAATCTAAAATCTCAAATTTGTGAGTGCAGTTTTTGAGAAAATGTTTTTAAAAAATATGGATCAAAAATCCCCCCCCCCCCCGCACTTTTCGAAGTCGAAAGAAAGTGAACTAAAGGTAAAAAGAGATTAGGGGATTATGCAGGCATACAGGGGAAGGGGAAGACTCTCCGAAAAAAGAAAAACCCAAATCCATACTTTTTCATATTACCTGTTTTTATCAAACAGGATCTAGATAAATTGAAATCTAAACCGACAGAGCTTAAGTCGACAAGCAAGAAGCCGAAAAATCATCAGCAAAAAATCATTAACAGAACGCTATTATTATACATAGAAAAGTTTGAGTAGTACTCGGTAGTTAAATTTGAATTTTCATGAAATTGAGCATGTCAGCATAATTGATTCGACAGATTTTGTTATTCTAGTTGTTAACTAGAAAAAAGTCTATATTCCGATTTGATAACGCTTGCTAAACGCAAGCGTAAACAACTTATCATTAATGTTTTCAAACCCTTGACAAATTTATGAGTGAAACACGCAATACTTTTCTTACCCTTGCATTCCAAAAAGGTTCTGTCTGTTTTTTTCCCAGGAAATTAGAGTAAAAAGCCAAAACAATATAATTCGATTTGAAGTCAAAAGGGATGACAATAATTTAGCGACACCAATTCAATTGGTTAGTGTTCGTACCAGCAGGAAAAATATGACCTACCAAAAGGAAACTACACTATCCAACTTTTGATGGAAAACGCAAAAAAAGGTATCAATACTTATCAGTAAATGTTTTACTTTTGCGCTTTGAATTCGGGGGTAAATTGTCCTCAATGAAAAAACACCTGAGTAGAAATGAACATAAGGTAGAAGGAATCGACTTTTTTATGACACATGCGCAAACAATAACACGACACAGAAGAACAGCAAGCCAATGAGAAATGTTCAATTTTCCTTTAATCCAAATTTCCCAATCTAGGTCGCTATAGAACCTCACGTGATGCCACGTAGCTACACGTGGTTACCTTTTCTACCAATACCTCGCCCGCAAGCACACGTGATTTAACTCAATCTGGTTAAAACTGCCTATATTTCACGAACCCAAAAACACCACTATTGCTATTGATCACCTAGTGAAATAGCTGGTGGCAGGAGATTACAGGCTCACATTTATATTGCGAAATAGAGAAAAGATAAAGGACAGATAGTTACCGTTAAATACGGAAGCAATACAGACGCACACAAATTCAACTGAGGAAAGGCAGAGTAAAATCTACTATCAATCCAATTCGTAAGGTAGTTAGGTCAACCGAGTGAATTGCCACTACTGTAATAGAAAGCACAAGTAAATTTTCACAAACAAGTTTTGGTAACTTGGTGAAATTTGTAAGCGTACATCAGATAGTGTCCAATAATTTATCAGAGCCAGTAAATGACTAAAAGAATGATCAATATTCGCAGAAATCTTTCTTTTCTTTCAATCAAAGATCTATCTCACCATGATTCAAGCAGACTACTGAGAAAGACATGCAAAATCTACTAAAAGAAATGAAATGAGATCAACTAACCCGATCTATCAAATTACTTGTCCGAAAAAAATGTCAAACCAAACAAATCCATCGAGAATAAATACATATACATACACCCTACCCGGATTAAAAATCAACTCGACGCCAGATTCCAGTGTTTCATTGTCAAAAGATTTCGTTTTTTTTATTCATTACTGCAGCTTACGTTACGCTAGAATAAACTGGTTTATTTCTTAATTAACACTTCGATTTTTGAATTTCAAATAGGAAAAAATCGTGATACTTTTTAGCTCTAAGATTGGAATAAATAGACCGAATACTCTATCGTATTGACCTCTTACCCCATATTGTATGTCTAAAAAGCTTTACCACTATAAAAGGCTGATTCAGCCATAGGCATTATTGAGTAATACAATTAGTAGCGAAACCCCTCTCCCTATAGGAAAAGGGCGGGGGTGTTAAATAGATCCGAAAAAACTTATTGAGTGTGCATATCCGCTATGTAATTTCTGAACCCATTCGGCCCAATTGAAGATCGGCTTAGTTGACTACTATAATGTTAGTGAATTAGTGAGTTCGATTTAGTGCGTACTTACGAGTAAACTCAGGCAGAGGTTGGGGCTCCTAGGAGAAAAGGGGAATTTTGAAAGTATGCAACAAAAAACACAACTAACCATTGCTGGTAGATACATGAGGAGCAGTAAAACTATCTAAGGGCGACTCATACAGAAAACAGTTAAGAATAGAATAGCTGAAGCCACTGACACTGAAATCCAGGTGCTCAGATTGATAGTTCAGGTAATAACTTTCCGACCATTCATAATAGCCCAGCAAACCTGGACAAATTGCTCTCAAATCCAGGTAAACTTTCTTATTTAAATCCGGAATTATAACAATTTCTCACACATTTCAGCGCTTTTTAGGAAACAAATCATAACTGTTTCCAATGGCTTGTACTAAATTGGTTGTTGAAGCTAAATTGTGCAGACCACGAAATGAATCTGTCAAAATGTAACTTCTGGTACTTCAAATCGCAAGATATTTTTCGAGCTAGCACCTCCTGCAAAGCTGATACAAATGTCACTTTTGAAAATAATATCGTGTATATGCATGTTTTCTCGCTATGCACAAAATCAGCTCATTTTAAGGATTTTTAATCGGTTTCATTGCATAGGAATAAACGCTAGTGTTTGTTTTTCAGAAAATTTATGGTTCTTTGATACCAGACCAAAATCGCCTTTTAATGACTGTTTTATAGCAATATGCACAGTTGATACATTTCAAACGAAATCTATCACCAGATTTTTAGTCACGTGTTTCGTTCAAAAAATCAACAAACTTACGCCATAAAAAGCTGTCAAATAAAAAACTACAACAGAACAGACCAATAAGCAGAATAATGGAACCTGATCTAAACTACATTTTATGATTGGATAAATTAAATGTTTTACCAATGTAAAGTATTTAATATTAACCAATCACGATCCATCTAACTAACAACCCACTTATTTGTAAGTGCTGAAGTTACTTGTAATTTCAGCACCAGAGAGATTTGAATTTAACTTAGAAATTAGTTGGACTCTCCCGAGCACTTCAGCAGCCGCAATAAACCAGTATACCCTAGATCTATTGAGCCTAGCAGAGACTAGTTAAACAA